ATCCTAAACTTTAATTTGACAACAGTGTATACTTGTCATTCTCCTTACAGAATGAAAAGGAGAGACTGATGTTAAATTTAGTTTTGTTTAGAGAATAATGTCAAAATCGATAGCATTATTTAGCTTTTAAATGCGATTTAAGAACTTTGTTGCGGAGGCGTAGCGGAGCCTAAGTGGGAATTTCGGATCGATTCTTTAAATTTTTCGCAGATACATCAGACACCATTGTTTAACCCTAGTTCTAGGTGTACTATGAAACAATTAACGAAATTAAGCCTTAATTGGGTCTAAGAACGAAACTCATTATAATTTTGATTGCTGGCGCCTTGAAAATATACTGCTTGCATTTGGGTGCTCGGTGACCGCGAAATACTTGTGGCTTTTTTTTTTGTTTTCTCCGAGGCGGGGAAGCGGTTGAGAAATCCTTAAGGCTCTGACTAGATCCCTATATAGTTGTAATTAGAGAAGTCATTATTTACAATGCTAATTCGCTTGGCAGAAAATAACATCAAATAGCGGACAGAATGTATACCTGACTACGTAATCTCTTTTTGTTCTAATTTATAGTTGGCGTCTATTTATCCTTATCCTTATTGCAGCATCGGAAGCCAACTTGCAAGCAATTGTGAATAAGGTTAATGAGTATAGCGAGGAAGCCGGTTTGTCGATAAACATAAGCAAGACCAAGTTCATGGTAGTTTCAAGAAACCCGGATTTGATTTCAAGCGTATCTGTAGCTGGGAAACAACTAGAGCGGGTACGACAGTACAAGTATTTGGGGGCTTGGGTAAATGAAGCATAGGAATCTGATCAAGAAAATCTCTTTTAATAAAATGAGGAAAGTTCTTTGCTGTCGTCAACTGAATATAAAGCTCCGAGTCAGGGCTACTCATGTGCTATATCTGGCCTATCGTCATGTATGGTAGCGAAACGTGGACCCTGAAAGAGGACACTACAAGACGCCTACAGGCATTGGAGATGTGGTGCTGCCGTCGCATGTTACGCATTAGTTGGACGCAGAGGGTCAGGAACGAAACCGTGCTTCAGCGCGTTCATATGTCCCGGAAAATGTTGCCTTCTATCAAAAAGCGCAAGATAGAATATCTCGGCCGCGTGCTTGGGAATATTAGATACATGCTGCTGCAGTTGATAATGATGGGCAAAGTGGACGGAAGGAGACGCGCTGGGCGAAGAAAGAAGTCATGACACCGGAATATCCGGGAGGGGACCGGTATTGCCTCCGTCGAACGCTGTTCCGGCTGGCTGCTGATAGAGATGAATACAGGAAGCTAACTGCCAAACTGCCAGCCTGGAAGAAAAAGAAGAAGGTCTATTTATATTACATTTATTGTATTTCATGTGAGTAGTTTATGTATTTAAGTTTTCATTTATTTTAACGCCGTTATTATCTAAATGACTATTTTAAAACATTTTGCTCTATCGCCATACCATTTAACTCTAACACTCGCTCAGGTTGACTGGTAGAGAATAACAATGGCATTAAGTCCGCCGTTTGCATATATATGGCAATAAAGTTTAAATAAATAAATATATTTGTCTGTGTGTTTAACGTGAACACGTTATCATTAGTATAAGTTGAATAAAACAAGTTTCAACGGATTAGATGCACTGATTTTATTTATTTATTGATTGATAATGCCGAGTAGTCCGACGTCGCATTCCTGCAAAGGATGCGAAACGTCAATAAATAAATAAAATCAGTGCATCTAAACCGTTGAAACTTGTTTTATTTAATGAGTGATGTGCGTGAAAACCTAAGAAACAAATATTATGGTAAAACTGTACTTGCAGGGCCCAAGAGGTGATACTTGATTTTTTTTTGTAGATAAGGTCTCTTTTAATGGAGTTTTATTTCTGGCGCTTCGCCTACCGCTACCGCGGCACGCTCGCTTTGCTCGCTCGGCTCGCACGTTATGGTCACAACACTAACCCTTTGTTTTTTTATCGTCAGAAAAATACGTTAAGCATACCTCACCGCCTTAGGAGTGCGGCGAGGTTATGTGGGACTCCTCATCTCGTTCACCCGTTCAGCCATTCCGAGGGCGGGCTCAACGGCTGCTCAAAAGGAAGGGGGCCCTACCCACTAAAAACCTGACGATGCCCCTCACCTCACCACTGGGCATGGCCACGTCGGGCAGGAGAACCGTCATCTGGCGGCACCCTGCCCGGCGAGGTAACGGCACTGGACGAGGCCACCGGAACCCTTACGGATGCTTCCGCAACCCCGCCAATGAGTGTCCGGTTCAAACGGACCCGTCCATCTTGGGGATTCCCCGGGGATTAGGGGCATCCCCATTTAACGATAAAGGCCTGTGTAATGCAGGGCCCACATCTCCCAGACACAACACTAACTTAACCTAGTGTAAAGTATCACCGCTTGGGCCCTGGAAGTACAGTTTATCCATTATTAGTATAAGTTTTTTAATTACAAATAAAAAATATTGTTTATGTCTTGGATGGTTGTGCAAAATATTTTCTACTAGCGCACGCTTGCGTCCGCATTAACTTTGGGTTTTAAGGTTCCCCACAGGAACCTAACACTTCGCCGGTATAAAAAGTATCCTATGTTTCATTCCAGGTCATAAACTTTGTAAGACAGTATGCGTCTTTTTGTGGCCTTGTGGTATTTTAATAAAAGTCCAGTCATCCAGTCGGTGTTGTTTTATTCACGTCCAAATAACAAGAGAGTGACAGACAGGAAGGTAGTGCATTTGACAGCTCGACATTTTCCTAAAACTTTGGAACATGATATAACAAATACCAAATTCCATCCAAAATCCGTTCTGTAGTTTCTGCGTGATTGAGTAACAAACGAACAAATCTTTCTCATTTATAATATAGTTACTCAAAATCGGAATTTACTACTTAATTTTATGGAATCCAGCACAAAACTCTTTTTTTCATTGAATGATCAGCTGTTCTCTATAGCGGTAGTAAAAAAATCTTATCTCTACAGCCGGTATCAGCGGTGGCCCAAGTGAAGAGCTTTTGATATGAAAAATCCCTTAGCTTATATAGCGACGAGGAGCTCCATGTCGCAGGTGGTTCGCGTATTCGGCCTGTAATCGTGAAAGTTAAGCTACTTTCGCAATGGTCGGTCATTGGATGGGTGACCACAAACTTGTCATCTCGAGTTCTTCCGTGCTTCAGAAGGCACGTTAAACCGTGGGTCCCGGCTGCATCTTCAGTCATTAGCACCCACCAATCCACATTGGGCCCGCGTGGTGTGTCATGTCACGGCCCAATCTCCTTATTCCAGCCATGGGGAAAGCCTGTGCCCCAGCAGTGGGAACATTAATTGGCTGATGATAATGATACAGCGACGAAATACTTTTAAGACTTCTATGGTAGAGTGCTATGTACTATCGCGGATTTTTGATCTCTGTCACTTGGCGAACAAAATGCTTTGAACGGTTTTCTACAGTAGTTTTTACTACGCCCCGCCTTCGCGTCGGACGCGCCAATCCGGGCCGCCCCACGAAAGTAAGACAGAGAGCATTTAATTGATTTAATAATGAATTGAATTACATTTGTTTTAGTTGCAATCCGTCATCCGCATCGCGATGCGTCGTGATCGCGACAGCGCTATACGAAAAAGTAAGACAGCGATAATTATGTAATCTATGAATGAATTTTTACTACGCCGCTACCGCAAGCGATTATAGCATGATGGGTGACAGAGCGGGTCTTTCCGCGAGTGTACATCGGTTCTCAGGATACTTTGAGGTCCTGGGTTCCAATCTCAGTAGTGACAAATGATTATATTATTCCCTGTTCTGTATAGCCCTCCACTTTGATTTTCCCGGCCGGAAATCCAAAATCTTTTCCGGACGATTTTCCTCTTATTATTAGAGGTCTACTGTACATCCAGGCTTCATTTATGTCTTAAATCAATCCTGAATAGTTTCTCTACAAACTTATCTTTAGATTACATGTTTGATTTAAAAACCGTTACTAAATATCATAAAACGCAAAATTTTCAAACAATAAATAATTTTCTCAACACGTGGCAGAAATCATCCACTAAGTGTCGCAAACGGGCCACACGCCACAGCCACAAACGCCGCCACGAGAAGCTAAAGTCGCTGAAGCGCGCGACAGCGGCCGACTAAGGTAAGGGAGGGAGGGGTGGGGAATCGCGCGAGTGACATGTGGCAGCGTTTTGTATCGGCGCATTAAGTGGCCGGTGCGGGCCACAAGAAGCGAGCAACAATGATTTGTAGCATGTGGCGGCCACCGGCGTACCGTCCATATAAAATGTATGAAAACTACAAGAAATATGCCGGTGGAGGCGTTGTTGTTGTGGTCGGTGGCCCATGTGCGGCGACACTAACACAGATGAGGAGATCGAATAGGTATGATTTGTTCCCGAATTATGGCTGTCTTATGTTTCTACTAAACTGTATTATTTATCTTTGTATTCTTATATTATACTCGCGGACGTATGCGACTTCGTCTGTATAGTTTTTGTGCTCATCATCATCATCATCAGCCTATTAATGTCCCCACTGCTGGGGCACAGGCCTTCCCTATGGATGGAATAGGGAGATTGGGCCATGACCCACCACGCGGGCCCAGTGCGGGTTGGTAGGTGCTAACGACTGCAGATGCAGCCAGGACCAACGGCTTAACGTGCCTTGCGAAGCACGGAGGAGCTCGAGATAGTAAATTTTCGGTCACCCATCCAATGACCGACCACTGCGAAAGTTCCTTAAATTCAACGATCGCAGCGGCACGCGCTAACCACTTACGCCATCGAGTTTTTGTGCTAATAGCGGACAAATATACATACATAAAAAATTACAGGTCAAACTGAGAACATCCTTTTTTTTTGAAGTCAGTATACATTTTCACCTCTGATGCAAATGAATGTTTCATCTAATGTATTGGTGCTATTACCCGCTGTATCTTTTCCCCTGCACCACAGATTTGAGTCATCGACCGAAGCATACTCACAAACAAATGCACTATATTCTGTCGGTTGACGCCCTGCGCACGCACATCGCGCGCACTTCAACTAATCGGCGATAACTTCACGTTTCTAACTGTAAAAAAAATATTGGTCGCGGGCAAATATGTAACTAAAAGATAATTAAAAAAAATAAAGTTTTTTTTTATTTAATTGAGGTGTTTATTATGTTTTTAAATTGTTTCCCAAAATGTGTCAGTAAATAGTGTGATAATTTTAAATTGTGATAATTAGTGTGTCTATGTTAAATGTGGACTAGATTTTAAAGTGTGAACTTCATTTAATAAAGATTGTATTTCTTGCAATCGAGTTTAATACTAGGAGGGCAGATTTGAAAGGCGATAGTGCCCTAGACGATAAATTAGGGCACGATTATTGGTACTTATTTGATTTACAACAGCTGTGGATTGCAGTGAACTCGCATTAAATTGTTAAAGGTAAGGAATTGATTAATACTTGCTATTTAATCTTAAAATAAGTCATGATAATTAACCTGTGACGAAAAAGATTTTTTTGTCAAAAGTTTTAATTCATTTATTTGGTTCATCCCAAGGGTACTGAATTGAATTTCTCCGAAATTTTGTGGAATAAACAAAAAATATAATCAAGTAAATCAGCCAAACCATTCTTCAATGATACTGCGTCACACACATCGCGCATGATTCTTAACTAAATATTATTATACACATCGAGAGTCTTGAGCTAAAGTATTTTATTAAAAAAAACAGTACTTATTACCAAATCCAGTCTTCCAGGTTGTTTTTTTTACTTGAGTTGACAACTCAATTATTTTTGCCTAATAATAATAATTTGCCTAATAGTACGTAAAAATAATAACATTTTATAATCTGCTAGTTCCTGGGTTGATTACTTAAAGATTTTTTTAAAGCCCTTTATATTACTATCACATTAAACTTTATTTATTTATTTTTCTTTCTAAACTGCTTTTCGCTTTCATATTACAAGTAATAATTAACTTATACAAAGCATTGTTGGGCTTAGGACCTTTTATTAATAAAGAAACTTTTTCAAAATAAAAAACAAATTAATGTCCTTGAAATTCGGTCCTTTTATCGACCTGTGTTATTATATCAACGTAGTAGTATGGTGGTAGTAGATGATGCTTTAGATAGAACTGAAATTACAATTGTAAAGAAAATTTTATTAGAAAAAAATCCACGCAGGCAGCAGACAAAAAATATATCTGAAATTACAAATTTCAAAATTACTTTAAAGCTGTGATTTCAGTTTAAAACCATCAGCCAGATATAAAAACCGCTTCCGTGTTTAGAAGAAAAAGATTTAATTTAAGCGACCCTCTTTCATAAAGAAAGTAATCACTACTACAAAGATAATACACGTTGCACTTATGTTAAAATGGAAAGTTAAAAGAGTACTTTTCAACAAAAGTAGGCTTTTTTTTCTTTTGTTGAAAAGTACTGTAAAATTTATTAATTAATAGAAATAAATTTTACAGATCAGCCTTGTTATATTTAGTTATCAGAGTTTTTGTTGTTAGGAAAATGTTGAAATGCCCTTCCTTCCCCTTTACAAGATTTTACTATCTTATATTTCATTAACAAGATACAGAAAAAATTGGTGCTAAATTTATTCAGTTAGAACATTGTATTACTCATTTGGATCTTTTGCACTTAATTTTTATTTAATTCTTTTCAATTAAACTTTTCACTGTGAATTTGAAAAAAAAGTGTTTTAGAGATGGCCTCTGAAAGTAAACAATGGAATACTGTTTGGTTGCCTAGTACTCAAATAAATTATACATTGTTTTTAAACTTTCATGGTCACACATAAATCCAAATAAATTATTTTGTTTCTTGTAAATTATTACGTTTTTTTTCTTTTTTATTTGCTTATAGGTAGGTACATCAACAGCATAACATACAAGACATTCATAATACATAGAGAATAATTTTACTGTTTACATATGTTTGCCAATTAAGGATATACACAACATTTATCCCATATCATTTTCATTAATTAAAATGTAAAGGAAACAAGAACATTGTATATAACAGTACTACTTTCCATATTTCTCAACGGTCCTCTTGGTCTGTAATGTCATTTTTTATCAACCACAACATTTTAATTAGCACATAAGTAAATAGCCTCTCTTAGAGACACTCAAATTTCAAAAAGCTATAAATCTTTTTAATTGCAAAAACTTTGTTGTGAATTCGGAACCATATAAAACCATTGTGTATATCGCGTCAAGTTCATGGCGATGCCAAAATAATAAAATTATCGTCGCCAAACCAGTTTCATCGCCGTCATCAAAGGGAATAAGAAAAACTCTGTTTGGAGTTCCGTATGTGAACTATCGGGATACATTTCATTAGGTTTTAAGCCCAGGTTTGTAAAGACAAAAAAAATCTGTTCATTTAAAAATATATAGTTTTAATATAACAAACCAACAACGATACAAGTGAAACTTTTAAAGTGTTTTATATAGCGTCACAACTTAAAAAAGTGGAAAATATTTCCTTCTTAAAATCTTAGAACATCTATAGTCCAGAATTTTTCAAATAAGAGTACCTTAGAATCCGGTAAATTACAAATCATTAACTTCATAAAAACAAAACACAAAAAAGTTAAAAAAAAATCGACGGGTTGCACTCCGGGAGTGTCGGCAGTAGTGAAAACTTGAATATTAACGTTGTGCATTTTTGATATTTTGGAATGCTTAGGGAATAATTTTGCACGAATCACTTTAATTATCAGTCTAAAAGTACTATCATTTATGTGGTAGAATACAATATTTATTTATTGCGTTATCGTACATAAGCATGACAATTTATATTACATTAAAAAAGTTTATCTCCCACTAAAATCAACTTACATGAATTACGTTTAAGCGCACTTAGCGACATCTATTGTAAACAAATGCCTAGATATAAATCCTAGATAGTAACTTATTATTATAATACGATAAAATAAAATATTACTATGTTTCGTGCAATAAGTTGAAAGTTAACAACCTTTCCAATTTTATTGCGTGTCATGATGCGATCAGCCCACGTGTTTAACCTGACGAGAGTTTAACATTTTTTACCCAAACTAAAAAAAAGTGTACAACCCCGCTAAAGAAGTTTTCACTTCAAAAATCTAAGGTACAGTAAAACTGAAAATGAAAATGAAAAGTCATTATTCAGTCTAGGCTATTACATGCACTTGTGAAGGTCAAGAAGCTACGCCATCGGTTCGCAAAACTACGGCGGGAGACCTTGTACTGAGAAGAACCGGCAAGAAACTCAGCAAGGGCTGCTTTTTTCTCCCTGTATTGATATATACAGAGTCGTCAAGTTGAAAAATGATTTCAGAGATACATCTGAAGTCACCTTCCATTACATTATTAAGGATATAGATATATAGTTACAATAAATTTTATATTTAGTATATAGGAAGCGGCATTAGATAGGTACCATATTACTGTTTCAAAAACTGACTCATACCCATCAAATAACAAATTACAAGAAACACTATGTCCATGCATTTCGATCATTTAGATAATCATTAACTTTATAATAGCCCTTATTCATAAGAGTATTCTTAATCTGAGATTTAAATTTGGTTAGTGGTAGCTCAATCAGATCTTGGGGAACTTTGTTAAACAATGCAATACTACATCCTAGAAATGAACCTCTTGATTTTTGGAGTCTGAAACATGGAACGGCAAGTTTGTTATTATATCTCGTGTTAAAGTTATGGGTTTGACTTTTTTTTGTAAATGCGTCATAGTTTTTTCTTACATATACTAAATTTTCATAAATGTATTGCGATGCCAGTGTTAAAATATTAATTTCTTTAAATTTTTCTCTAAGAGATTCTCTTGCCTTTAAATTATATATGGCGCGAACAGCTCTCTTTTGCTGTTACTGTACTACTGTAACTGTAACTGTTATTTTACTGTGATCTTCTGTAAGGTTACTTCCCCAGACGGGCACTCCAATTCGAGCAGGAAATCCACTATGCACTACTTCTCTTGATACTTATTTGGAAAACAGGGGTTGTGAACGATCTATCTGGTCATCTTTCTTTTAAATTTAAATCAAATTAAGAATTGTTACATCTTCAGAGCATGCACAAACTATTATATGAACCTCCCTCTTACAACCTGGGATCCTTGAAAAGAGGCGTGAAGAAGCAACATGCAGGCCGGCAGGGTGAGGATGGCTGGTGTGGCAGGTAGAACTGCTGTATCAGCTATTTTCGCTTCTGGACTTCACCCTCACTTAACATCAGGTGGATTGGAGTCATTTGTCGGACCTTTCTATAAAAAAAATGTAATACATGTATAATTTATAATGCTAATTAATGAAAGGTGTCAGCTTATTTTTACAAAAGTTACAAAGTAAACTAGCCATGCTTTCTGGATATTTGGTTATAAGATCTGGCAAGGTTTCTAGAATAAAACGGTAAAAGCGGTTTCTGTGTAACATGGTTAATCGGCGCCAGCATTGTTTAGAAAGGATTGTAGACAAACTGTTAGGAACCGGAAAATATTTGCTCAAGTAACAAGTAAATATATTTAGTTAGGTAACACAAAATGAAGACTTGAATTTTGATGAGCCTCGAACTTAAGAGCTACATGGCAGACGCGATGTCCTCGAAATATAAGAGGTGGATCAATCTTATATATAAAATTCTCGTGTCACAATGTTAGTTACCATACTCCTCCGTCGATTTTTATGAAATTTTATATGCATATTCCGTGGGTCTGAGAATCGGCTACTATCTATTTTTCATATCCTTAAGTGATAATGGTTGTCCACCTGTAACGTAGTGTTCTGAAACCTACAATGCGCCTTCGCGCCAAAATTCATGTTATTGGGTATTGTAACATAGTGTTCTCATATGGGTTAGGAGGAATCTTTTTCCACCTGCCCCTATTTTTATGGCGGTACAAAGTTCGCTGGGTCAGCTAGTAATATTGGATTTTTATCCAATATTATACCATACTTTTAGACGGAATACCAAGATTTACATGAGTTTCTGTAAAGGTACAGTAAAAAAAAATATCTTATTTAGTGAATTGGTTGTTTTGTTTTCATTTGCTCTTCGATCTTGATTTCTAAATTTATTTAATCCTATAAAAAAAACTTTGAGGTTTTGACAAATAGTGTAACATTTTAACTAGTTTTTGAATTGTTGTGATTTTCTCTTTCAGCTTAATAAACAAACACGTTGGCTACTTTTTGTGATGGGGCCATGCAGTCCTCACAGAACTCCTGTCTGTGCGACCTTAATTATCCATTGTGTCTCGCCTCAAATTTAAAGTACCTCTTCGAGTCCAATAGCTCTTAAGAAGCTCATAATACCTATATCTGTCTTTTAAAGATTTGCTTTCTTTCGGGTGTATTATAGTATGTCGCCCTAGATGCCTTCGATACTATGGGAAATTCTCAATCTTCCGCGTTAT